CAATGATTCTATGATTCCATGATCCTATGACACTGTGCATCTACAATTCCATGATTCTGTGATTCCACGATACTGATTCTATGGGTCTGTGATTTTATGATGCTACAACTCTATGATTCTAAGTTTTTATGATTCTATGGGTCTGTGATTTGATGATTCTATGGGTCTATGATTCCATAATTCCATGATTCTGGGGGTATATATTGCTATGATTCTATGATTCTAGGTTTTCAACTTGGGAACCAGTTGTACGAAGGCATGGTTGGAAAGGAGACTGGGAATGCTCGTCATCCCTAAGAGCAGCAAGGCACTGTTCTGCTGTCTGGCTTCGCCAATAAATGCAGTTGTTTGTGCCAGCACTGAGTAGAAAAACCTATCCTTCAGTGTAAAGGCCAGGCAGGTCAGCAGGCCCCCATAAAGCTGCTGTGCAAAGATGATTTGTGCTGGCTTCAACGAGAATCACAGTCAAACTTCAAGGTGCTTGAACCTTTCCCTTGACTCGGGCAGAGAATGACAGCACATTTCACTCTTCCTCCCCGGGGTTGGATGCTGCCAGAATTGAGTGAGCTCACTGAGGGGACCTCCTGTCTGTGTTTGTGCAACGCGGGGAGGAAAACGTGGCTGGAGCTGCCCACGCTGCCGGCACAGCAGGAAGGTGCAGCCAGGCATCATGGAGGGTTGCACAAGCCTGGGCTACCTTCAACATCCCTGCAGGTTGGAAGTGGATGCAGCGTGAAATTAATCAGCTACTCATAGATCCATCGTAGAATAACAGAATCATGAAGGTGGAAAAGATCCACAAATCCAATCACAGCCCACATCTACCGTGCCCACTGCCCGCGTCCCTCAGTGCCACATCCCCACAGCTCTGGGACACCTCCAAGGACGGTGACCCCACCAGTCCCTGGGCAGCTGTGCCACTGCCTCTCCTCTCTTTGGGAGAAGGAATTGTTCCTAGCAGACAACCTGAATTCAGCCCTAAACTTTTATGGTGGCTGGGCCACTTGACTCCATGCTCCTCTTAGACTAAAGAGGGAACTGCTGTAAATGTCACAGATTTCAGAGGCCAGCTAGTGGTGACTCACCCAGATAACACTTTCAAGGACGCTGGGGGAGCCAGGAACCACAGCCCCATGTGACAGAGCCACATCTGGAGAAATGGCCAATGTCACCCCACCACTGGTTCAGGTTCCTACGGTACCAGGTGAGGAAACTCCTGCTCTGTAAAACTTACACTGGGAAGAGAGGCAGAAGGGGAAATGGGAGACGGTTTGACCCCAGTTTGCACACAAAGATAGGTCAGGATTAGTCCCTTCAGTCACTTTTGCTCATGTTAGCCACAAAGCTCTAATCTAAGAGGTGTTCTTAATGAACTCCTGAGGCTGCGATTGGACCTGGAAGGTAAATCGCTTACATTTCTACATAAACGTAGGAAACTGCTTTCTGAGTTAGCAAGCAAAGCTCATTCATAATTGCTTGTTTAAATATTTTTCCTTCTTCATCACTGCAGTCAATTCGCTGCGAGCATCCTATGCAGAGGTGAAGCCAGCCAAAAAGGAAGCTTTCCTGGAAAAATAACAAAGGTACTTTCAGCCACAGAAATCCCCATCTCGAATCCAAACAGGGAAGCCTCTGTCTGCTGCCAGTGTAGGCAGGGTTTCCGACTGCCTGTTATTGGACATAGCAGAAGAGTTAGCTTAGGCAGAGGAAGGGGAAGGGGCCGCTTCTCCTGCGCTGGGGTGGAAATCCTCTTCTTTCTGGGTGCCCTCTGCGAGCTCAAGTCCTGCACGTCGCAGTGCCCATGGCCTGCCCAAAGGCAGCTGGATGCCAAGCAGAGACAGGACACGCCATGCAGACACCGCCCGGAATGTGTGGCATGGAAAAGCCATGTCAGAGCCTTGGCTCAGGGGATCAGCAGGCTGACTGCCTGCACTGCCCTGCTGCAGCCTCACAGTGCCTGGATGCACACACTGTGCTTTGCAGTGGCTTTTCCAGGGCATGGAGCAGGGAAATCTGGGAGGACGAGGTGTGAGGAGAAGGGGTTCTATGTCCCACACCACTCCGTGCCAATCCCTATGTCCCTCCTTATCCCTAGAATGCTCATGGTGCATAAAGACGAGAGAGATTTGATTCCCAGGACTGCCCTATGTTCTTCTGCGGGTGCTCGGCCGTGTCCCTCACCCCACAGTGCAGGCTGGCTCCTGCTGCACAAACACAGCCAAGAGAGATAAGAGCTGTGTGCACAGCACTCAGCCAGGAATTCAGGGCCTGAGCTGGCCCCAGCTGCCATCCTGATGGCAAACCACGCCAGGTTCCCTCCCTGCACCCCTCCGTGCCATGGAGGCCGCTTCTCAGCCTGCTTTGCTTGGGCACTGCAGGGATGCTGCAGCAGGAACTCTGGCAGGGCACACCATGCAGACACTGCACATAGGTGTGCAGGGATGCTGCAGGAGGGATGCTGCATCTGGAATGCAAAAGGTTGCTGCAGCAGGGATGTGAGGAGGTACTGCAGCAGGGATGCACAGAAATGTGCAGAGTTGCACAGGGATTCTGTAGTAGAGATATGCAGGGATGCAAGGGATTCACAGGGATGCTGCAGAGGGGATGTGAAGGGATGCAAAGGGATGCACTGCTGCAGAGGTGTGCATGAATTTGTAGGGATGCTGCAGCTGGATTGCACTGGGATGCTGCAGCAGAGATGCACAGAGATGCACAGGAATTCACAGGGACACTGTAGTAGGGATGTGCAGGGATGCACTGCAGCAGGGATGCTGCAGCAGAAGGGCACAGGGATGCTACACCAAGCCACTGTCCTTGGTGATGCGAGCCACGCTGAATATGGAAACTACGCCTTCCCAAAAAGAGCCTGAGGCCTGTGGCAAGGGATCTGCCATTGTATGTTTGCATTGTGACATGGGTGCACGTAGCAGGGATGAGTCATGGTGGCGGTGTAGCTTGGCAAACACAGAGCCCGGCTTGCCCATCAGGGGCAGAAATACCTCCTCTCTTCCTGAGCAGAGGGCTCGTGGTAATAAAAGCAGGTTTTAAAATTAATATAGTGATACCTCGGAGATTAATCTTGCTGATAAGCAGACAGCAGCAGGACTGAATAGGCCCGTGGTTCAAACAAAGGTTTCTGTTGAGTAGGAACAGGTAAAAGACGGATGGTTTGTTAAACATTGCCAGCATACTTTGCTAGTGCCATTCACCGGTCACAGCTAATGGTAACAGGGGCATTGTGCAGCAGATGCATTTGCTAATTTCGGCCAACTTAAACGCTATTCCTTATCTTTGTTGGTCTTGCTGAGATTAAGGCGGTTTCAGTATGCTGAATGCACTACACTCCTGCATGAAAAACATTCCTGACAGTCTCAAGGAGTAAAAAAACATTGGCTGTCAGCGAGCAGAGCAGGGCCGGGAGGTCTGCTGACACAGGGCTGGGTCCAAGGCCCACTCCAGCACTGCATTGGGCAATGCAGACTTCGTCCCAGCTTTGTGCTAAAGGCAGATAACCCGCAGCACAGCCAGGGCTCAGCACCCAGCAGTTTGTTGGGATGAGATGGGTGTTGGACACGGTTTGTGCTGTGCTGCTGCACCGATGTGAGAGCAGAGCCTATTTGCTGGCCGGGCAGCCGGGTGTCACCGGGTGTCTGCCTCCCTTCAGCCCTCCCTTCCTAACCCTTGAACTCCTCGCCCGTTTCAATCAGCTTTGCCAAGACAATAGGCGTCTCGGAGCTCATTAAGTGCTTAGGGGGGGTTTGTGGACATAGGCATCTGTGCAAAGGGCAGGGGCTGGGGGGGGGGGGGGGGGCTGCGGGTAGGATCGCCCCACCTGGGATCCTCCGCAGAACAAAACCTGGGCAAGAAGCCACTTCCTTCCCCCAAATCCTAGCTCCAGCCCAATGGCCAGCTGCAGGATCCTCCCTTGCCCATGCCCATTGCATCCTCTCTCCCTTCCCAATCCCGCTTCATCCTCCTCAGCTAGCCAGGATAGCTAAGGGGAATACCTAATAGCATTAGAACCCATTTTATTATTCTCACTGGTATTTTAACAGCGCTGAGTCACACGGGGGGATTAGGACAGCTCCCAGAAGATGCAATACCCTGCAGAGACAGGCAGGGCTCGGAGCGGGGCCAGGAGCCAGGGAAACTTTGGGTTAACATGGGGCCCTGACCCTACCCCTCACCTTAACCCTCAACTTCGCATGAGCTCAGCATGAGCATCCTGCATGCATGGAGGCAACCATCTGCCTGAACACCTCAAGAAAGGGTTTCTTTCTTCCTCACAGTAGTTGTTCATGATATGATAATAATAATAATTATTATTATTAGGTATTAGACCCCCACCCAGAAAAGCCAGGCACTGCTGCAGCCTGAACCCGGCGCAGCACCGTGCTGGCACTGTGTCCCTGCCAGTGGCATTATGTTCTCTTTGACAAAAAAGAACCAGGAGAATTCCCTTGCCAAATATTGTTCTGGTAACCGTAACTCTGGGTCTTGCCAGGTTACAGAGCTCCTGTTATGGAGCTCCTCCAGGCTGCATCCAACACTATTGTTATTGCGAAGCACCTCTGCGCTGGTCAGGCTTTGAAGTAGGTGAGGCGGTCACCGTTCTTTCCTCTTTTCTTTTTTCTTTTTTCCCTTTTTCCCCTCAAGCTCCGGCTCTATGATTTAGGCTGGAAGCAGATTGTTCAAGAGCGCCGGGGGAAATCTGGCAGGCGCTGACCAACCCCGCAAGAATTTATTACCAACCCTTTTAGCTGCCGCCTCTGCCTTTGTTACTCAGCCCTTGGCAGGGGGGTCCATCCGTCTGCAGCATCCAGCACTGCGTTCACTGCTCACCAGGTGAGCAACCATCCCTCACCATCCCACTCCAGGACATCCTCCGGGACTGTTATCCAATTGAACCGGCGAGGATTTAAAATGCCACCTGAGTTAAAAGGACCTGATTAAAACTGTACCCTCATCACATTTCTTAAACAGCCGGTTGCATTGCCGTATTTACATTAGTGTCAACTTTAATTTAAATCCCGCATAACGATATTTGCTCCCCTAAATTCATTCGCCGGGAGCGAGGCACAAATTACTCGGAGCTGACTGCACTTTCCCTTTGTCTGTGTTGCAGCGTTTTGGAAATTAAGGCTGAGCACCTCGTTAGGGTCTCATTAAGCAGCCCGATGCAGGGCGCTGGGCTGCAGACTGAGGCTGGATTGGGGCGTTTTGGTGTCGGCCAGGTGCTGGCACGGCAGGGACACGTGGGGTCAGCTCTGCAGACAATGGGAGCCCTCCTGCTCTCCTGACCACCCAGTAGGGGAGAAGGGGGAAAAGAGACAAAAAAAAAACAACAAAAAACACAATAAAATACCCGGAGGTTTCTCAGGTTTTTGTGACAGCAGTGTTTAAACTCGGTGCTTCCTGCAGGTGTGCTCTTTGACGACGAGTGCTCCGTGTGATTTCAGCCAGGCAGGCGTTTTCTTTAGTCCTCGGTGCTTTGCCTTTTCACCTTGTCAAACCCTTTCAAGCTAAACAAACCTTGTTCCAGCCTTGCTCACTGAATCCCAGCCCGGGGCGGCACAAAGCGGCGTAGCATCACGGTTGGAGCTGGCGTTTGGGTCGGAGCAGCATAGCAGTGCCTGGGCAACGGGCAAAGGAGGCAGGAAGGGAGCAAAGGAAGGGCAGGGGACTGCAGCCCGGTTGCGGGGAGGTGGCACTGAATGCGGGGGCTGCTGGATGTGCCACTGCCCGGTGTCACCTTGTCCTCGAGCTCCGCGGGGACGCGGCTCCGCGCGGCACCAGATTTGCGTGGCTAAGTCGACGGCCGTGCAGCTGTGCTCTTATCTGGTCAGAGGAAGAGGATGAACAACAAAAGGGCCTAAGAAGCCCGGTTGATGCATGGGAAAGCCATTGGTTGAGCATTGTGGCTGCCCTTCTGCTGAGCAAATAGTTCAAACTGTTCATTCCCATCTTCTATTCTCTCTCCGGTACATTGTTTGTGTCCTTGCATTTCATTCTGCAAGGAAGATTGCTCTCTGGGCCTATAAGCAAACAGTCCAGAAAAGAGCCAACTATCCTCTCCTTTTCCCTGGAGAACTAGCATTTTTATTTCAGCTCCAAGCTGTCAAAGAGCTGGAGAGTTTATGTCAGTATCCTGAATTAATTGCTTTAAGCTGGAGCAGCCTAGATGAGCCACCAAATGTCCAGAAGATGTTTATTAATAACGTTTCCTGCCTGTTTTGTTCCGAGCTGCTCTCTCCTGTCCAGTGCCCTCCATTCACTGCCTTGGGGTGGCAAAGCCAAAGCCGCTTATGGGGAATTAGAGCCCGCTGCCAGGCTTTGTCACCATCCCTGTGCCCAGAGCCGGGAGCTCTGGTTGGGGCGGCTTGATGCTGGGAGCAGGAGGAGGAGGGAGACGGATTGCTGCTGGTGGGGCCCTTGTTTAAACACAAATATCTTCGGTAATTAGCAAAAGTGGCGAGGAAATTACCGATGGAAAAAGAGAAACCACACGGAAGGTAAACGGCCCTGTGTTTAAACATGATATATTTTAAAGTGTTCCCCAGCGTGAAAGTCGCTGTTTAAGGGAATGAAGTAATAAACCAATTTATATACCAATAGAAAGTGGAGATCCTGAGTGCCTTTGTGTAAATTTTCCACTTGACTTTTCATTATCTACCTGAACAAAATCAATCTATATGTATGGGATCAACGCGCAATATGAGAGATAAAAGAGGAAATAAATGCGCTTTGCATATCCCGCGGATGAACGCCGCGGGGCTCCAGCCTCCCTGCCAGGCAGATGCATTTTATAAAATAAATCATTTTGCCGAGGAAAAAGAGAGCAGAGAGGAGCATTACTTCTTAAGTGTTTACTCCCTAGCTTGAAATATCGATCCTGTCAAACGAACGGTGGTTAATAAGTAACTCGGGGGAAATGTGCTGCTCCGTGCAGGAGGAGCGCTGCTGCGGCAGGGGATGCGCTGGGGCCGGTACCTGGGGCAGCACAAAAAGCAGAGCTAGAGGCAGAAAGAAGAGAGCACCCTCTCCCTCTGCCTGGAGATGGGCTTTGGGGGTAGAGCACCAGGCTCGGGGATCCTTCTCTTTTCTCCCTTCGGGGCTAAGGGAACAGCCAGGATCCCCTTGTGTGTTTTTTCCCTCCCTAGCTGGATATAGGAAAGGTTAAGAGGCACTTTAGCAGGCACAGCCCCACTCGGGCATGGCAGACTCCTATTCCTGATGAAACTCCAGCTCTGCTGTATTCCTGCCCCCAAGGACCTGGATCCGGCCCCATGCAAGGCAGCACCTGCCTCCTACAGCATCGCCGTGGCCATACCCACACCATTCAGCCTTGTGGGACCTGATGGGGTCAGTGGGGTATGGGTATGGCATTGGTGTTGTGTCCCCTGTGCTGGCAGAGCTGCAGCTGGCACAAATACTTCTATTTTCTAAGAGAAACAGTAGGGTCACAGAGCTCCATCCACTGCAATGTCAAGAAAATAAATAAACGTGAAAAAAATGATTTGAGGAAGCTCTCCTGCTTTGTTTCCTGTTTCTACTTTTTTTTCTTTTCCCCTAAAATTCCAGGCAGGAGGGAAGGAGTGGCGCAGAGAGTGGCAAAGGGCACAAAGAGAAACACGGGGATGAGCTGATCACTTCCCAAACCCAAGAGTTTTCAGGGATGCTCCTGAGGAACGTGCCCTGCTGTTGGCTCAACATCTGCAGCCAGTTTATTAGTTTGCTAACGACGCCTCGGATTGGACCCGGAGGGAACAGAAAGTCCTGGCAACCTCTTGCAATATCAGCCTCACCTTCTGCCCCGTCCCACTGCCTCCCTGAAGCTGAGCTGCTGCTTTCAGACCCCCGTCTGCAGCCTGTAATTTTGCAGCAGTGCAGAGCAGCAGCAAAGTGAGGGATGCGTTGGAGAACCAGAACACTGTAGCATGGCTCAGTGCTGGATAGCAATTGCCAGGGTCCTGCAGGGTGGGATGAGTGCTACATCTTTAGGATGGCACCGATGTGCATCCCTCAGAAAGCTCCACAAATTCATTCATTCTTCAGCTTTCCCGAAGCGTTTTAACAATTTATTTTTTTTTCCTAAAAGGATCCATCCCGGGGAAGCATCTTCTCAAATATCCTCGAGGCAGAGATAGCACTTCTGCCCGTTGCCGAGTCTACTGAAGCGTAACGCAGGTATTGCACACAAGTACAGACACAAAGAGGCAATCAGAGATGGGGATCTGGGGTTTCATAGGGGACGCACACACGGCAGCAGCGCTCAGCACGGCTCAGAGGTTGGCCCCATCTGTCCTTGACACCGATCCCCTGTGCTGTTATTAAAATCAAGAAAGGGCGGTGAAGGTGAGTGCAAGTGCTCACACACCACAGGCTGCTTCCCTGCCGTGCAGGAGGCTTGCAAAGCATCTCAGGGTCCTCAGCCTCCTTCAGTGTTGGTGCTGTCGGTGATGGGGTGGGAAAGGAAACCCCTGCTGGGCATTGGGGTGGGAAGGGGAATCACTGCTGGGCACTGGAGTAGCTGTCTGCTTTCCAGCCAGGCAAAGGAGAGCTTCAATCTTTGTGTTGCTTGCAAGAGTGAAAAACAGAACTCAGTCCTGTCCCAGCTGTTCTTGCACTGACCGTGCAGGCAGATTGCTGGCAGCAGCAAGGCTCCGGCTGCAGAAATCCATAAGGTAAATGGCACGTCGAGGGCTTTCTTGTCGCCTGCTTTGAGAAGAGCAGGGCCCGTTTGGGTGAAAGCAGGAAGGCGTTCTGAACGCCCGGCTTTGGCAGGAGGGAGCTGAGCCGGTGTCCTCCCCCCGCCCTCGCCCATCCCCGGGGCTACCTGCAAGTTGCCGGCCTCGTCTGGCTGCTACACCCGGTCCCTGATCCCTGCCCTGTCCGGCAAGGGGGGCGTTAGAGTTGGGGATGGAAGGCTGAAAAATAGAGAGGGAAAAAGCGGAGGGAGAAGAGGAGAAAGGGGAAAAAGTTGGGGGGAAAAGGGGAAATGAAATTTGAAAAGAAATAGGAAAGAAGAGTGAGAAATTGAAGGAATGGAGGAAAAAAAGGGGAGGGGAAAGGGGGAAGGAAAGAGGGAATGAAACGAAAAGTGAGGAGAAGAAATGGAGGGAAAAAAAGAAGAGAGAAAGAAAGGTAAAGAAAATCAAAGAAAGGAAAAGAAACGAAAAAAAAAAAAAAAAGAGGGAAAGGAAGAAATAAAAGAACAACAGATGTTAAGAGAGACAGAAAAGGAAAGCGTGAAAAAGAAAAGGGAAAAGAAGTCCCAGCGACAGAAGCGCTGCCCGCTCCGTTCGCTGCCCCGCGCTGCCCCAGGCGGGTGGAAACCCCCCGGCCCACCTTTCTGCTTGGGGAAGCGGCCAGCCGGGCTGGGACGGTGCGGGACCTCCAGGACCCCCCACCCCCGTCTCATAAGTTGGTTTTTTTTTCACCTTTTTTTTTTTTTTAATTCAATTTTACACCCAGCTGCACCTACAAATGTAACACGCACCCCTCCTTCCCTTCCTCCATCCATCCTTTCCTCCATCCTTCAGTCCTTCCATCCGTCTCTCCATTCATCCACCATCCCGGAGCCGCATCCCACGCTGGCCGCGGCTTTTCCCCATCCTCCCGTCCCGATTCGCATCCCTGTGCCTCAACCCCTTACACTTAGGGCCGGGTTTTGCGCCTCTCTGGGCGTCGCTTCCCACCTTGGTTCCCCATATCCCCCACCCCGGGGGGAAGCCCCTCATTCTCCCGGCCCTCCCCTTCTCAAAACTGTCGCATTTTCCACGCGTGGAGATTTAATAGGAATAAAACATCAAGCCCGTCGGCTCGGCCGGGACTGCGGGAAAACTCGGGGCACTCTATTTTATTATTATTTTTTTTTCCTTTTTTTTTTTTTTTTTTTCTTTCCCCCATACAGAAAGAAATAGGGAACAGATTCCTCTTCCCCAGAGCCACCCCCCCTCCCCCGGGTTCCGTCGGAGAGGAGAAATATTTCGCTGAGAGACGAACCGCAGCGAGAGAGCAAAAAAATAAACCCCAATCGTCTCCCGCCGACACCCAAAGCCCCGTTTTTAGCTGTCCCGTAAATAAGGAGCCGGCAGACTCTGCATCATCCTTTGCTATTTACTCTTTTGAAGGTTAGGCAGGGCAGAGGTAACAAACTTTGAACGATTTTCCTCCTCCCCTTTTCCATCCTCTTCCCTACCTGGTTTTATGTGGTTTCTGGATTAATCTAGTGTGGAGCAGAAGCGGACTTTCCCCGGCCGAAATACAGGATTAGGACTATTTCTAGAAGAAAGAGGATAGTGTCAACTGCCTTTAGCCTGCAATAGTCTAAAGCAGAATTACAGCTTGTAAAATAGGTCTCCATCAGTTTCCCAGGAGACGAGTTAAGCCCTACTTGGGTGTTCCAGCTCTTTTTAGAACCAGCAATAATTAGACTCATCTCACCCTGAGCTGTCCGGTTTTTTTTAGGATCCCCACCGACCGCTTTTGCATACAATCCTGCCGGGGCCGCCTGGCCGCACCGCTCGGCAGCAGAAACCATCGGGGCGGTTTGGGGCAGGAGATGTCCTTTTGGCAAGCGGGGCAGAGCGGCTGTCCTGTCCTGCCCGACGTGCCATCCCCTTGCGCTTTGATGTCCGCTGCCTTTGAGCCATCTCTGCATGTCATTAGGGGCCCGGACAATTAAAGAAGTGCCTTTGCACCCCCCACACCCCCCCACCTCGACCCCCCCCCTCAACTCCTCCCCGCAGCGGAGGGGAAGTCGGAAAAAAAGAAATACATCGGCCGACACGGCGAGCCGATGCGGGGCCGAGTTCGCCTTCGGATCGCGATTGTGAGCTGGGAAAGTCGCCCGGAGGGGAGCGGGAGGAGCCCCGACAGTGACAGCGACAGTGACTGCCCGTCCGGCCGCTTGTCGCCGGCTTTGGTGGCGGATTGGATGGGGAGACCTTCTGCCGCCCGGGTATGAAGGCTCCGTCCTAGGGGCGGTCGGATGCCGCTCTGTCTCCCCGAAAGTCAAATTAAAAAAAAAAAAAATAGAAATAATAATAATAATTTTTAAAAAAATAGAATAAAATCGATCAGTCGGAATGAAAGGTTGGAAGAGAAGCTTAACGCGCTGCTCTTTCCGAGAGGCTGGCAGCGGGGAAATGAGGCTTGGAGGGCTCGGAGGAGGCTGGGGATGCCCGGGTGTTCAATAGGCTATCTCTCTATCTACCTGTATATATATATTAGTAGTGACACAGCACGAATAACGAGTAGAAGAAGGTCGCGGCGTGCAGCCCCGCTCCCGCCGGGCTGGGGCTGCCCGTGGCAGGGAGGTGAGCCGTTCCCACTCGTGTCCCCTCCTCCCCGAACGGCGACACGAGTTCGGTGACAGGTCATTGCCGAGTGCCGTACCCCAGAGCCCGGCATTGCCCGGGCACCGGCTCGGTCGGGAGCCGGAACCTGGCACGGGAAAAAGGACACGCGTGCACAGCCCGCTCCCGGTCTCCATGGGCTTCGAGAGCTGTCTCCTTCCCGAGTCCCCGCGTGGGTGATACTACTCGTGTTCGTGCCCAGCAGCCGAGCCCCGGCACTGTTAAACGCCCGTTTTCCTCTTTTTCTTCGCGTTGTGAACGAGAAAATGAGGATCTGGGGTCTTTTTCCCTTCGGTTCTTGCCCACGCGGGGACGAGGACTGCTTGTGGCACCGGCAGCGACGCTTCCCCGTGACACGGACACGGGAGAAATGCCGCTCGGAGAGAGGAACGAAAAAGCGCCGCGGAGCCGGTGAGGACAACGGAATAACGCACAGAAAGAGGGGAAAAGAAAAAGGGAAAAGAATACAAACAAACAACAACAAAATAAAGGAAAGAAAAGCAGAAAGATGCGCGCGGTTCGGGTCCCGCGCGTCCCCGTTCCTTCTCCGACGGCCCCACAACGACTCGAGCCCTCGGCAGCCAGCTGAGGGGCTGCGGCCAGCCGCACCCGCACTCCGACCCGTCCTCACCCCGCTCCCGCACGGGGATCCCCCTCGGACCCCAAATCCCCCTCCTCAATCCCGTCTCCTCCAAGGCCAGGCGGAGAGGCGGGGTCCTTTCCACAGCGCACCCCAAAACCGGGACGGAACCGCCGTCCCCTCGGTGCCCCCCGCTCCCCTCTCGCCTCCCGCGGGCCTGAGGGGGAGGTTGGGGGGGTTGGGGAGGGGGGGGGGTGACAGCGTTGCGCAGCCGGAGGTGACAAACGCAAAGAAGGAGGAGAAGGGGAAGCGCTGCGGGTGTCACCTACCTGCGCCCCGCGCCGCCGCGCCCGCTCTGCGGGAGCCGGGAGCATCCCCGCATTTATGGGAGCCGCAAGCGGGCGGCTGTTGACTTTAGCACAAAGCAAAGATTTCGCTGGCCGCTAGTTTAAAAATGAATATTTTACCAAGATATCGATCAGCTTTATAAAATTCAGTTAAGCACAATGGCTCAAAAGGAGAAGCGGGGAGGGGGGGGGTTGAGGGGGGGGGGGGAGGAAGCGGAGGGGAGGGGGAGAAGGAAAGGGACGCAATATAATATCTGTGTAAATTTGCTGAAGTATGACGTGGTGTTGAAAGTTTACCCTCCTGGAATTTGGATCTAGATTCAAACCCCCCCCCCCCCCCCCCTCTTTTTTTTTCTTTCTTTTTTTTTTTTTTTTTTTCTTTTTCTTTTTTTTTTTTTTTTTTGTTTACTGACTTTGTTTATTCACAGCTCACTATTGCTTAAACAGGCCGCGGCAGAATGCACTTGCGGGAGGACGGGGTGGGATGTGCGAGGTGGGGGGGACGGGAAGGAGAGAAAAAAAGCGATGGGGTGCAAAGGGAGAGATGGAAGGGAGAGCGCGGCCCTTTGTATTTCTCCCTTTTTCCTTTTTTCTTTCTCCCAACCTCGCGTTTCGGCGGGAGGGAAACTCGAAGATGAAATCGCAGCGAATTAAAGAAGGCTGAGGAAAACAATGGGAAAAAAAAAAAAAAGAAAGAAAGAAAAGCGACAATCATTGACCAAGAGCTGAAGGCCCCGAGTGCCACCATTGGTGCCAGCTCCGGATCGGCCGCTGCCGCGTCCCCAAAGCGGTGTCACCCCGCGCCCGTGCTCCGTCCCCGCGGGAGCCTTTTATGTGCTAATGAAACACATTGCACGCCTCGCTTCACAACGTGTGTGTCCTTGCCGTATAGAGACAGACAGATTGCTGCCTGGATCCCCGGTTTGTTTTTGGGAGGGTTTTTTCATTGTTTTTTCTTTTTTTTTTTTTCCCTTTCTACCCCCCCCCCCCCCCCTCTTTTTTCCCCCCCTCCGCCTCCCCCGTTCCCTGTCCCCTTTTCTCTACCCGCGGACAAAGCGGAATTTTAAGAAGGATTTGAATGTTATTTCGGAAAGAAACATCTACGACGGCCGTAAACGGCGTGGGAAAAACAACAAGTGGTTGTGAAAACGGGCACGGGAAGGGGGGAAGAAATGACAGCACCGCCCCGGGACGGGTTCCGCTGCCCGAGCCGTGGGGCTGCGAGCGGCCGGGAGGGCTTTAGGGCAGAAAGAAACAGCGATCCTTTGGCCGCACGGCTCCCTGCGAGGCCATCCTCCCGACCCCCGCGGTTAATACCGTCCAGGCTCCGCTCTTTTAGCGCTCCCAGCCGTGCGCTTTGCCCCCCCCGACGGCAGATCGAGCGCGGCAGCGCATCCCCGCTGCCCACCGTCCCGTCTCCACGGGGATCCCCCCCCAAAATCCCCGGGACGGCTTTTCATCGCTGACCCCCCCGATCCTCCACCCCCGGGCTGGGTGCGCTTCGGCCAGTCCTTCCGAGGGCAGGAAAAGGGGGCCGGGAGCCGCACGGCCGCACCGTCGGGGCCGCACGGCCGGGGAAGGAGGGCGAAACCCGGCAGAACAGAGAATGCAGGGGGAAAAAAACCGCCAATAACACTTTAATAGAGTTCTGTGGCAACCTGGCTAGTCGCTACCAGAATACACATTTATAAGCCATAAATAAAGCATACAGAAACGATAAATTAATCAGATCCAAGTAGTTTACTCTCCCGGTAACATCAAGTGTTTGTTTCAATTACAACGATCTATCCTGACTTTTTTTTTTTCGCTTTTTTTTTTTTTTCCATTTTCTTTTCTTTTCTTTTTTTCCCTCCCCCTTTGTACAATTTTACAAGACTTTCCATCCTCAGATCCCAAACTCGCATGGATTTCCCACCGAACGAGGGCTTCGTTTTCTTTGCGTCCATTTTTGTCTGTTTGTTTTTGTTTTTTTTCCTTTTCCTCATCACTTCCACGCAAAAAAATAGATATATTTAGACCTCCTTGCAACGACGACAACGAAAAAAATAATAAACCAGCCCCAACAGAAAAATCCCTCTCCCCTACACCTCCCTCCCACCAAACTGAACCACCCCGCAAGGCAAACCAAGGGGACCGCAGGGTCAGGGTTAGGGGGTGGCACACGAGGTGCGCCCTGCTGCTCCCCGAGTGGATGCAACCACCTGGAGCCTGCAGGGATCAAAACAAAAAATAGATAGATAGCTATATGGGTAGGTACCGTGCTCGGCAGCACTCACAGTCCATCACGCTGCTGGGGGACCGCGCGGGGAGGGGGGGGGTTTTCCCCCTTTGCCTTTAGGAGGAGTTCATGATGGGCCGGGAATACACACCTTGGTAGTAAGAAGTCTCTCCGGCCAAAGGGGAGGACTCCAATGGGTTTTTGTTCGTTACGGGCCCCATGGCCAGGCTGGCGGGCACGGGCGAGGCGTAGCCCGAGTAGTGCATCACCTGCTCGTAGGCCTTGAGGTCCATTTTGTGCGAGGGGTGGTGGTGGTGGTGAGGGTGGTGGTGGTGCTGCTGCTCGGAGGACGACATCAGGTTGTTGATGGAGAAGGGGTGGTTGAAGGCGTAGTGGTGCTCGGGCTTGAGGTGGGCGTCGTGGGGCAGCCCGGCGTGCGGCGGGGCCAGCAGGTGCTGAGCAGGAGAGGCCGCCGACGGCTCCCCGGGGCTCGGCCCCGCCGCTGCACCCTTCAGCTCGGCCAGGGCGCGCTTGTGGTCCCGGCACGGCGAGGCGCTCGCCGGTGACTCTGCACCTGCCGAGCCCTCGGAGCCCCCCGAGGAGCTGCCCTCTCCCAGGGGCTGGCTGGGGGGCTGCCCCGGCCCCTTCTTGCCCCCGCCGCCGTCCTTGGTCGCCAGCTGCTTCTCACACTTGAAGCGCTTCTGGCGCCGCAGGTAGCAGCCGTTCTCAAACATGTTGCCCGAGTCGGGGTGCAGCGTCCAGAAGGAGCCTTTGCCCGGCTTGTCCGGGGAGCGGGGCACCTTGAGGAAGCAGTCGTTGAAGGAAAGCGAGTGGCGGATGCTGTTCTGCCAACGCTGCTGGTTCTGGCGGTAGAAGGGGAAGAGGTCCATGATCCACTGGTAGATCTCGCTCAGCGTCAGCATCTTGTTGGGAGACTGTTGGATGGCCATGGTGATGAGCGAGATGTAGGAGTAGGGGGGCTTGGCGTGCGTGTAGCTCCGCCGGTACGTCTTGGGGTCCCGCGAACGGTTGAGGTTGGACTGCCCGTAGATGGGGCTCATGGAATTCATGTTGGTGTAGGGGGCCAGGGCGTTCATTGAGCCCGCTTGGCCTCCCATGGGGCTCATGCTGGGGCTCAGGTGGGCACCCATCCCCGCCACTCCGGCCGAGCCCATGCCGGCCATGGCCCCCGCACCTGGGGACATGCCA